TAAAAATTAAATAAACCAAATGTCGATCAGTCAGAATTACTAGTGCCTTCTTTTCTTCTTTTTTTTCTTTGTGCAGCCTGTCTTGGTTTAATCAGTGACCCCTGTGCTATGTTGGAATTGGGGTAAGAAGAAGGGTTTTGGATTCCTTTTGAACTAGGCTGACTTGTTGGTTGGCTATGGACTCGTCTGTAAGGACAAACTACATCTAAAAGTGGAGGGCACAACTCTGTTGGGGGAGAAAAATTGTTAAAAAGGAGCTTTTGAACTAGAATCTTGGGAAGATTAAATATATCCCATATACTGAGCAAGAGTCAAAGTAGGCACTGGATATAGAAGTGATTGAAACAGAGGGGGAAGCAGGGCCAAAACTAGATGGCAGGGAAATTGCATTATCTAAGCCTAATACAGAAAGTGGTGCAGAATCAAATTGTAATTCAAGAGTGAACAATAAGAAAATCTAAATGTTTGTACAAAATTTAAAGGTATATATACAAATGCAAGAAGTCTGAGAAACAAAATGCATAAGCTAGAACTTCTGTTATTGAAAAAGGATTTTGACTTGTGTGTCAGTATGGAAAACCATATTCAGAACAGATTAGAAAACCTTAATGTTAATAAATTGCTGGGACCAGATGCCCTGCACCCACAAGTGCTCTGAGAGCTTAGCTCTGTTATAGCCAAACAGCTATTTCTAGTTTTTTAAGGACCAGTTATGGATTGGAATGGTATCAACCAAATGGCAGAGAGCAGGGGTGCGCTCACAGGCCACATGTGGTCCTCGGAGCCCTTTGATGTGGCTTTCTACCTCAAACTGAATGTAGGAGTTTTGGTGCACTTTCAGAAAGTGAAAGCCACAAGATATAATATCGGTCTATGGCAAAGCTCAGGAAAGCCACAGGTGCACTGCGCTGCAACCACAGTGTGGGTAAACTGCAGCACAACTCTGTGAAAGCAGTCTTATAGGGGACTCAGAAGAGAAAGGGCTTCTTTAGATTTGTAGTTTGGGGAGCAGTAAAACCAAATAGTTGAGATGTTTTTACCCCCCCCAACCACTGGTTTAGCATTAGGGGTCACAAAGGTGACCCCAACCCATCCTCCACAGGGGGGCCCAAGCGGCCTCCCTGTAACATTCTGTTTTACATTTGGACAGTACATCAGGAACCAATCCTCTTCATTTTCCCTTTTAAACTGCTGAAATTCAGCTTCTTCTCCTCTCCATCCAGCCAGCATTCAGCGGCTGCAGGAGGAAAATGTTCATTGTGTTAGTCAAAATAAAAATTCTGAAATTCTGAACCATTTCATTGTGGCCTATGACCAGTTACCAAATCACTCAAGTGGCCCTTGCTCTTTAAAGGGTTGAGTATCCCTGGCATAGAACAAAGGTGGTACCAGGGGCGGACTGACCATGCAAGCACTCGGGCACTGCCCGAAGGCCCGGGGTCAGTATGGAGCACCATGAGATGCCCCTGGTACCTTTTAAAGGTTTTTTGGGTGTGGTTTGAGTGTGGGTGAGGATTTAGGGGCTCCATGATCCCCTATTGCCCAGGAGCCCCATGAGTTGTCAGTCCGCCCCTGGGTGGTACTGATATTCAAAAAATGGATGAAATGTATAATGGAAAACTAGAGATCACTCAGCCTAACATCAGTAGAAAGTAACATATTTGAGAGAAAGGTAAGGAACTGTATTCAAGATTTTATCTGCTATGTACTGTAGCATAACAACCAGCATGGATTTATAAAGTCTGTTGTTGTCAGACCAAGTTGATAACATTTTAGGAAAGAGTTTGTAGGAATCTAGATAAAGGAAGGCCAGTGGACGTAGTAAATCTGGATTTTGCTAATGCATCCAACACTGTACCTCATAAACATTTCATTTACAATTTAAGTATATTGGTGTGGACTAAATTGTACAGTATGTACTTGGATAGAAAGCTAGTTACAGGAAGAGCGGTGATAATAAATGTAGTGATAAATGGCTCATTCTATAAGCTTGTGAGTAGTGTGTCCCAATGTTCTGTCTTAGGGCCAATTCCCAGTTAAGAGTTCAACGTCTGTGTCTACTGATAGTACCAAAAACTGCAGGGAACAGGATGTAGCAAGAAGACCTTGATAACATGGGGGTGTGGGCAGCTACATGGAAAATTAGAGTCAACATTGAAAAATATAATGATAGGCACTTTGGTGTTAAAATATCCATGTAAAATGCACATTAGGAAGGGAAGCTCCGAGGGAATCAATGATGGAAAAAGATTTGGGTGCTGTTGTAGCTCGCACACTTAGCCAAATGCAATGTCAAACTGCAGCTAACAAATCTGGCGGAATATTCTCATGCATTAAAAAGGACATACATTCAGAAGGCAAATCAATAATTCTACCCCTTTAATAAAACATTGATTTAGCATGATCTTAAGTATGCTGTTCAGTTTTGGTAGCCAATCCACAGGAAGGATGTCCTTGAACTAGAAAGAGTTCAGCAAAGGGCAACTACATTAATATGATGGCTAGAGTACCTCAGCTATAAACCATTAAAAAGATTACACTTATTCACTCTGAAGGAGAGACATTCAAGTAGGGATATGATAGATGAAGAAGGCACACAGACACAATTTGAGACTGGACAAAAGGAGGTTTAATCTTAAATTGTGTAAGGGGTTCTTTACTGTTTCCATAACCATGAGCACAGGGTGTGTCGGGTGTGCCTGGGCACACCCGAATCAGTCCATTTGCATTATCGCTGTATACACTGGTGGCAGAGGCGGGCTGAAAACTCGTAGGGCCCCTGGGCAATAAGAGATAATGGGGCCCCCCTGTGTCTCCGCCTCCACTCAAGCCAAAGCCACACCCACACAACACCCCACCTGCTGTACATATTGCAACTCAGCTGCATAGAAAGGGCATTAAAAATGTTAAAAATAATAAAACACTGCCATGGGGTCCCACCTCCATTCATACCAAGCCCTTCGGGTCTGGCATGGGTTTTGAGGGGAACCCTCACGCCAAAATTTAAAAAAATGGCGTGGGGTCCCCCCCAAGAGCCATACCAGATCCTTATCCAAGCATGCAGCAAGGCAGGTCAGGAAATGGGGGGGACAAGCAAGCGCCCCCCCCCTCCTGAACCATAACAGGCCACATGCCCTCAACATGGGGGTTCCCCATGTTAATGGGGACAAGGACCTCTTTCCCACAACCCTGGCCTGGGTTGTGGGGGTTTAACAAGGGGGCCCCCAGATCCCACCCCCCCCCATGTGAATGAGTATGGTGTACATGGTACCGCTACCCATGCCCAAAAAAAAAGTGTGAAAAAAGACAGGAGACAGGTCTTTGACAAGTCCTTTATTAAAAGACGAAAAATAAAATAGTGTCCCCCTGAAGTAGATCCAACATCAATCAAGATGCCCGCAGCCGCCGCCGCTAACCAAGAAAAAAAAAAAAAGGCTCCGCTTCCAACGCTGGCCCCCGGCTGTCTGACTGCTCCGCAGGCTTGACAGTTCTTAAATATTTAAGGGGCGGGGCACCCAGTGACATCATGTGTGTGGCCCCACCTTCTTGTGACATCATTGATCCAGCATGCCCCGGTTAATGATGCCACAAGGGGTGGGGTCACAGATATGATATCCCTGATAAGATTCCAGATAAGCCCCCTGCCCACAGACCCCCACAACCACTGGCCAGGGTTGTGGGGAAGAGGCCCTTGTCCCCATCAACATGGGGACAAGGTGCTTTGGGGGAAGCCCCCTTCACCCCAAAGCACCCCCCCATGTTGAGGGCATGTGGCCTGGTATGGTTCAGGAGGGGGGAGGGGCGTTCGCTCGTCCCCCACCCTTTCCTGACATACCGGGCTGCATGCTCAGATATGGGCCTGGTATGGATTTTGATGGGACCCCCACGCCATTTTTTGTTTTTATATTGGCGTGGGGGCTCCCCTCAAAATCCATTCCAGACCTGAATGGCTTGGTATGGATGGAGAGGGGGGGACCCCATGCCATTTTTTCATTATTTTTTTTTAATTGCCGGCAATTCTTTCTTTTACATTCACTGACAGCTGAAACATTAACGAATGGGTTTCACTACTAAAATACTGCATGACTTGATAAAATAATTCATTCGTATTTTAGTAGCATTTTTGGTGAATTCAAACAATTTTTTTTTTTATTATGCAGTATCCTACCGCATACTCGGATGCGTTAAGATACCGCTTAATGAATTGTGCCCAGTGAGCCTGTCACCGGGCCCCCTACTGACCCCGGGCAATGCCCCAATGGTCAGTCTGCCCCTGGCCAGTGGGAAGATGGGAAAGATTCATCACTGAGCTGCTCTGTTTATAAGAGTAGAAGCATTTCTCCTTCACGCTGAATCTGTAGGCAAGGAGATAATGTGCCTGTGGGGTGGAGTGCCGCAAGGAATGTATACATTATATATATATATATATATATATATATATATATATATATATATATATATAGTGTATACATATACACACACATATACACATATATACACACGCTTGCATGTGTGTGAGCTTTGCTTTTTACACCCTAATGCAATAGGTTGCGCACACCTATGACTGTTTCTTTGCTAATGGAGCAGTGAAAATGTGGAACTCTCTATTCCAGGTAGTGGTCTCAGCAAAGATTTACATAGATTTAAAAAAAAAATTGATGTTTTCCTCAAACTTGCAAACATAATAAACACATGTAAAGGTTGAACTGGATGAACCGGTGTATTTTTTCAGCCTTATCAACTATGTAACTGTGAAGAGTAAATGAATAAACAGAAAATATTCTGACTTTGTATACGTCAAATAGAGAGTTTATGGACTGCTCATGAACTCAATTCCCTTTTCATCACAAATTCTCACACAATTTTTCTCAAACAGCCAGTAGTTAAGTCTTAATTTTGTACTCACTTTTAAGTGTTTTTTGCAGCAGAATAAATTAAAAAATGTTATTTTAAGCTGTTTTTTGTTCAAATGTTTCAAATATACAACCTGAGTAACTCACCGATTATCGATTTTGAATTTTTTCTTGCCAATATCAAAAGCCATAGCTTCTTTGTCGGGTAGTTTAACCAAACCTGCAGAGTCACAACAAATGACAAGATATTATGCACTTCCTGTATAATAAAATAATCTATAGATTTGTATGCTAAAACCAAGAGAAAAGTCCTCTCACCTGGTTCACATTAGTGTGTGCCGTTTGAATGGGCTGCTATGCACGTGCTTCACGCAAGGAAAGGCTGCATGCACCTTTTCCAAAAAGCATCCACACAGAAACTGTATGGTCATTGTGACCATGCGGTTTCTTTGCAGTTCCCTCATCCGCGATTGTGCTGCAGGATGAGATGCATGGGGTGCCACCAAGGGTGGACTTACCATTTGGAAACTCGGGCACTGCCTGAGGGCCCGGGGTCTGTAGGGGGCCCCATGAGATGCCCCTGGCACCTTTTTCATAAGCCTTTTTGAGTTTGGGCAAGGACACAGGGGTACCATGATCCCCTATTGCCCGAGGGCCCCATGAGTTGTCAGTCCGCCCCTGGGTGCCACCCCACGTTTCGCAAGAGAAACGCTATGTGGCTGTGGGTGGTTACAGGTGTAGGAATTGCTTCAATTCTCACACCCACAACCAGCCCGCCGCGTGAGGGCTAATGTGAACCTAGCCTTCTACCTTATTTGCAAAGTAGTGCTATTAAGCCTCCAGTACTGTTGCCAATCAGTTCATTGAAAAAAAAAACTTTAAAATACACATATATAAAAAAGAAATCCAGTTAATGCCTGACCGATTCATGTGTTGGTGGTCGATTTGGAAGGTAGTGCTGCACTTTATGTGTGAAAGCATCCTGTAGTAGCTTAACTCATGGAGGGTGTCTGATTTGTATTCCCTTCCTAAGTATGATATTTGTGTGGGTAAATGAGGAGCAATGTGAAAAAAGATCTGAAAAGTGGAAGTCCACTTAAAACAGTCAACTCCCCCTCTTAATCTGCTTATTTTCAGGCTGCACTGGTCCAAGTCACATGATCTCCCCTGTGTCAGCCAGCAGCAGCTGCAGGGGAGAGGAGAGAGAGTGCTCTGACAATGGTTAGTAAAGCCTGAAGTGTTTATGGCACCCGCAGGCTTAATGACCCATCCATTATTAGTGTTCCCCCCATCTCCCCTGCAGCAGCACTGACCGGACCAGAGTGGCCTGAAAATCGGTAAGCACAGACATCTTTCTTACACAGGTTAGTAAGCATAGGACCAGAGAGAGGACAGTTTTAAGAGAAATGAGGGTTATTCCAGAATTACACTATAAAGCTTTTGTTCATTAACATACCAGAGTTTATTGATAAATATATATAAAAGTACAGTCAATTTGTTTTGGGGTCCTCACCATTCTTCAGGGCTAGAAACGTTAAAAATAATGTTTGTTGCATGATATGGTATAGAGCAGAGGTCAGATACCTCAGTGTTGAGCAGAGCTGCAGGTTTGTGCTCCATTTTTTGGATTTGTTCCAAAAAGGTTCACGTGAAAACCGTTCTCTTTCACCAGGTATTCGGCATGCAACCAAGTTAAAGTGATGCATGGAGGGTGCCATTGTTGTTCATTCCTTCTGAGAATGCTAGTTCTCTGGCTGTCATGTTGATGTAATTCTGTCATGTTGATGCCTTGGCTTCCAAGCCTTATGAATCACTGACCTGGAGCAAGTGCAAATATAAAAGATCTAGCTCTTTTCTGACACTTATATACAGTGTGCATGTTCCAGGTCTATGACTAAATATTGTATTGATGGCAGGTATAGCTAGCTTTTCAACCACTAACTGTATATATGTACAGTGGCTGGGAGGGACAAGTGCCAATCTGGAAGGACACACCGGTAAGGCTTCCCCTTTTTGATACTGGTGCGCTGCCTCAGAGCTGCACAGTGGCATGATCTGTGATTGCTGTGCCCACCAAACACAGCAGATAACAAATTTGGGTACAGTGGTGAGTACAGTGATCACATTAACAGCAGTAAACAATGGCCTTCATTCATGATGCCATAGTTTACTACTGCCATTGTTGTGATTGGCCACAGCTATCACAGTAGAAGACAATGGCATCAAGAATGAAGCCACATATAGTTAGTACTGATTGCTTATAAAAAAAAATTCCAATCACCTGCTCTGGTTACAGTACAGTGGGTATAAAAAAAGAATCAACCCCAACCCCCCCCCCCCCCCCTTGAAATAATTACAAAAAGTGAAGAAACAAAAAAGCCAAATCTGACACATTCCACACAAAATTCAAAAAATGGACTGGACAACAGTATTGGTACCTTCGCAAAATTGTAAGAAATAATTGCATTCCAAGTTTGTGATGCTCCTGTAATTTGTAATTAAACGCACCTGTATCAATTAACAGGTGCTGACAATATAGAAATCACACCAGCAACCAGTTAAAATGGTGAAAAATTGACTCAATCTTTCTGTTGTGTGTCTCTATGTGCCACATAGCACATGGAGAAGAGAAAGAGCAGCAGAGAATTGTCTAAGGATTTGAGAACAAAAATTGTGGAAAGCATGGTCAATCTCAAGGTTACCAGTCCATCTCCAGAGATCTTAATGTTCCTGTGTCCACTGTGTGCAACATTGACAAGAAGTTTACAGCCCAAGGCACTGTAGCTAATCTCCCTGGATGTGGATGAAAGAGAAAAATTGATCATAGCTTGCAACAAAGGATTGCTCAAATGTTGGATAGAGAAACTTGATAGACTTCCAGACAAATTCAAGCTGATCTTCAGGAACAGGGTACAAATGTATCAGCTCGCACTATACGTCCCCATCTGAATGAAAAGGGGCACTATGGTAGGAGACCCAGGAGGACTCCACTGTTGACATAGAAACATAAAAAAGCCAGATTAGAGTTTGCCAAAATTTACTTGAGGAAGCCAAAATCCTTTTGGGAGAATGTGCTGTGGATAGACAAAACAAACTTACAGCTTTTTTGGTAAAGCCCATTATTATACTGTGTTCAGAAAAAGCAATGAGGCCTTTAAAGAAAATAATACAGTCCCTACAGTCAAATATGGTGGAGGTTCACTAATGTTTTGGTTTTGCTTTCCTGTTTCAGGCACTGCATGTCTTTACCGTGTGCATGGCATTATGAAATATGAAGACTACCAAAGAACTCTAGGGTGCAATGTAGACCAGTGTCAGAAAGGTGGGTCTCCGTCACAGGCCATGGTTCCTACAGCAGGACAATGACCCAAAGCACACGTCAAAAAGCACCCAGAAATGGTTTATAACAAAGAGCTGAACAGTACTGAACTGGCCAGCAAGGAGTCCAGATCTCAATCCCATAGAGTACCTGTGGAGAGATCTCAGAAAAGCAGATGGGAAAAGGAACCCTTCCAATCTGAGAGACCTGGAGCAGTTGGTGAAAGAAAAGTGGTCCAAAATTCCAGTAGAGGTGTAAGAAACTCACTGATGGTTACAGGAAGCGATTGATTACAGTTAATTTTCCAAGGGGTGTGCTACCAAATATTAAATTGAGGGTGCCAATAATTTTGTCCAGTCCATTTTAGGAGTTTAACGTGGAATGTGTCAGATTTGGCTTTTTATTTCTCCACTTTTATGTGTCATACCATGTTTTGCTTTGAGTCCAGTAAAGGTAACTTTGCTTTAGAAGCAAGGAAAGATAGACCTCCATAGTGTATTAATATGCTTTTACTAATGAGAATGCTGTAGACACAATTACAATTATAAGAATACAATACAAGACTGACAGATATACCTACAGTATAACAAGCAAAATGCTACCTACTACCCTAGCAAAACTATGCTCTGTATACAATAGTAATACGCTGAAAAGCTTACTTAGCTCAGGTTAGAGTGAGTTCACAATCTCCATAGGCAAGACAAAGACCCAAGGCTTATGCAGGCCATAGATGGGGAGAAAAAACGGCAGATTTTTCTTTTAAAAAACGAAAATTCGGTCGTTCAAGCGGCCGACGTTACCATCAATGGTAAAAAAAAAATCGGCCGATTTTCATCCCTTCTACAGCTGGCAAAAAGTGTCCCTGCAGGGAGCTTCGCTATTTCTGACAGTTCTCTGACAGTTCCTTCACATTTACAGCGGTTGAAACATTGTATCTATTTGTTTCCATTTAGGATACAGATGTTTTTATTCGGAAACAAATAGATACAATGTTTCAACCGCTGTAAATGTCAGAAAACTGTCAGAAATAGCGGAGCTCTCTGCAGAGATACTTTTTGCTGGACTGGAATTCTTCTTATTTTTTCATCCTACTTCTTCTTCTTCTTCTTCTTCATCATCCTCATCCTCTTCTTCTTCATCATCCTCATCCTCTTCTTCTTCTTCTTCTTCATCCTCTTCTTCTTCTTCTTCTTCTTCATCCTCTTCTTCTTCTTCTTCATCTTCTTCATCCTCATCCTCTTCTTCTTCATCTTCTTCTTCATCCTCATCCTCTTCTTCTTCTTCTTCATCTTCTTCTTCTTCATCCTCATCCTCTTCTTCTTCTTCTTCATCTTCTTCTTCATCCTCATCCTCTTCTTCTTCTTCTTCCTCATCCTCTTCTTCTTCCTCATCCTCTTCTTCATCCTCATCTTCTTCTTCTTCCTCATCCTCTTCTTCTTCATCATCCTCATCCTCTTCTTCATCATCATCCTCATCCTCTTCTTCTTCTTCTTCTTCTTCTTCCTCATCCTCTTCTTCATCCTCATCTTCTTCATCCTCATCCTCTTCTTCTTCTTCCTCATCCTCTTCTTCATCCTCATCTTCTTCTTCCTCTTCTTCATCCTCTTTTTCATCCTCTTCTTCATCCTCTTCCTCTTCTTCTTTTTGTCTTCCTCTTGCAGGTCACTGCTCATGCGCAGATTTTTTATCAGTAAAAAATCGGCCGATTGGCCCATTAATGCCGCGAAAATCGGCCGATCGGCCGATTTTTTTTCAACTTTACCAAAAAAAAAAAAACGGCCAAAATCCCGAAAAACGGCCGACCAAATCGCCCACTAACGATCCGAAAATCGGCCGATTTTATTTTCGGCCGACAAATCGGCCGATTTTCGACCCATCTATGGCCTGCATTACTCTACAACAATTGCAGGAGATCAGGGGAAAACGCTTTTTCTTCTGTCCGAGATCTTAGAGTCCCCTTAATCAGTTTCTGTTGTTGCCTTTTATTTAGAAAGCGTAGATAGCCAATCCCACACGGTTGTGGTCCCTCTCTACTTTATTACACTGTCCAATTATATAGGTGATACATTCTCAAATTCGACCTCAAGATGGAGCTGTTGTATCATACATGCCATAGGTCATATATGTTAGAAGGTCAAGCTATTGGTAACCATAGCTACAGAACAGTCAGCACAATTGTCAACTGTCAACTGAAATACAACAATGGTATCTATGTTACCATTGTATCCAGTGACATTTACTTGAGAAGCATCTCCTCAAACTCCAAGAAACTTGATGTCGGTCTCCAAGACAAATATAAACTGTATATATACCCCCTCCAGTTCATCATGAATACTGCTGCAACTGGTTTACTTGCCCAACAAAATAAAATTCTAAATACTAACAACTACTTACAAAGGCTCATCCACCTTACCAAACTGTGTTCAGTGTCTGCTACCCCTCTCTGCCAATCCCTCCACTGGTTTCCCACTTGCCCAACAAATAAAATTCTAAATACTAACAACTACTTACAAAGCCATCCACAACTCTGCCCTCAGCTACATCACCAACCTGGTCTCAAAATATCAACCAAACCGCTCTCTTCGATCCTCCCAAGACCTCCTGCTCTCTAGTTTCCATGTCACCTCCTCCCATGCTCACCTCCAGGACTTCTCCAGAGCTTCTCCCATCCTATGTAACTCCCTACCCCAATCTGTCTCTGAATCTATCCACTTTTAGATGATCCCTGAAAACCTTTCTCTTTAAAGAAGCCTATCCTGCCTCTAATTAGTAATCTGCCTTTTATTTCCTTCATCAGCTCATCCCCCCACAGCTATTACCTTTTTGTATCAATCAACCCTACCTCCTAGATTGTAAGCTCTAATGAGCAGGGCCCTCTGTTTCCTGTTGTACCAAATTGTATTGTAACTGTAATGTCTACCTTCATTTTGTAAAGTAAACTGTTGGCGCTAAATAAATCCTGTACAATAATAATAATATATATGTGTGTGTGTCTCTCAAATGAAACACATACCAGTACAAACAAAAGAAATAAATCAGAGAATGCCTAAACATTTGTAATCGCAACAATTATCTGTGCAAAGTGGTGCATTATCTGACAGAAATGCAGGGGTGCCAATATTTGTGGCCATGACTGCATATACCATAGTAAAAAAGATGATTTGTTTGCAATATTTTATAACAGAACCTAAGAAAAGAAATTTGTCAAAATGTTTGGTATTTTTTCATTTACATTGCAAAAAATAAAAAAACAACAGTGCTGATTAAATACCACCAAAAGAAAGCTCTATTTGTCTCAAAAATGATAAAACATTTAATTTGGGTACAGTGCTGTATGACTGAGTATTTGTCATTCAAAGTGTGACAACGTAAAATATGAAAAATGGCCTGGGCAAGAAGAAGGTGAAACATTCCAGTCCTGAAGTGATTAAAAGAATGCTAATAATAGCAGCTCTGTACCTCTCTTATGAAAGGGGACTTTAAAAGGATCCCAAAGTAAACAGAACATTGGTACACAAAAGCATGTGCAGGAACCTTGCGACTCAAGCTTTTAGAAACATGTGGACAATCACTCTTTCATCATGGCAGATTCACATTAACGGCTTAGGATTTTAATTTTTGGGCTAGTTGGGTATTGCTTTGTATGTCATTTCTACACTGACAATAATTATTCAAAGCATGAACTCAATGTTTGTTATGGCGTACCTTTGAAAACTCGAGTTGCCAAACGACACTGAAGTTCAGAAATTGGCATAATGGCTCCAATTGGCTGAATAAGTCCCACTACCGCTAGTGTGTACATCTCCAAGTGATAAGGAAACATATATTTGTATAGGCAGACCTTGTTGTTGTTAACTTGGAGCACTGATTTATCACAGAACGGGAAAGAGATACTATATCCTGTAGCAAATATGACAGCATCAATGTTTTTCTCTACTGTTCCATCTTCAAATATGACATCAGTGCTTGTAAACTCTTTCACATTGGGTCTAATCTGAACATAGCCTGAGATGATACGATTAGGGAGCTCATCATTGACAGTTGGATGTTGACCATTGAATCTGAAGGACAATAAATACATTTAACATACAACTGATGATAGATATATAGATAGATAGATAGATAGATAGATAGATAGATAGATAGATAGATAGATAGATAGATAGATTTGACATGATTCCATCAAACTGCAGTAAAATATTTGTATTTATTTAGTATTTAGTTTTGCAAGAGTTTGTTGTTAAAAGAGGGTCTGAAGAGGTAAAATGTAGGTGGGATTTCACTGCAATGTGACAGTCCTGCACGCTTAGTTGTGTCAGACATCATAGCTGTGTGCTCTCTTTATAGGGATGTGCACTCACAGAGACAGTGCTTCAAACTCCAAATGTTATTTTGTTTTGTATCGAATTAAAGTCATTAAGTTAGCAATTTTGTTTTGTTGAATTTGTTAAATTCGAATGATTCATTTTCATAATTTGTTTTGTTTAGTTTAGTCTCGTTTATTAATTTTTTTTTGGATTTGAAAATATCTAATCTATTAGAATTTGAATTGAACTTTTAGCTAGGTACTACTTGTTCATATACTGTTTACATATTTGTGATTTTATCAGATAAATAGATGTTTTCACAACATGAAAGCCTCCATTATGGACCCCATAGAACAGGGTTTCTCAACCAGGGTTTCCCCCAGAGGTTTCTAGGGGTTCCTTGAGCAATGACTAATTTCTGCCACTGATAAGTACCCACTGAAACCATTGACCTTTTTAGCTATCTATAAAGGGGGAAATTCTTCCCAGTAACCACAAGTGTAAGGAGTATTCTTCCCATTGACAATCACATTGATGTATCATGAGTTGTAGACAGTCTTTTTTAGCAGGGGTTCCCTGAGACTTGAAAGTTATCTTAGGGGTTCCTGTGTCTCGAAAAGGTTGAGAAAGACTGCCATAGAATATGTTACATGAAATTATAGGCAAGTTATCATCGTTATCACATATACAAATTTGTGCTGGACCCCAAACACCTTGATGCTATTCATGAAATACCACTAAATTCTTTTGTAGGAAATAATGGTGGCAACCTTATGTGATGTATAAAAATGAATTACTAGTCTATTACTAATATGAAACTCACGTGATCCAAGACAATATTTTTCTTGCTTAACAATAAACATTAAAAGCATATTATGCCTTCACTTGTGCACACCATCCACTGCCGCTAGAATAGTGTTGGGGGAGATCGATCGACTTGAGTACAACAAGCAAGTCCGATTTTTAATTAAATTATTTCCAACGGCTATAGCTGCTAGTAATAATCGCTGGGTTTTCTCCCAGGGTGGATGCTCGCAACCTCTCCCCACCCCTTGGGAGAACACACTAGCTCAGCAGGAGGGATTCCCCCATCAACACTGACTGTGTTGATAGAGGAATCAAGCGATTTTCTTTCCTGTAACCCTGCAAAAATCATACCATCTATGGCCAGCTTAAACTTATAATAAAAGGATTGAGAGTAACATAAAAAATTGAAGGCTCCTAGATTATGAGGCATATGTGTTGATCTGGACACAAAGGATGCTAAAATTATTCATTCACCAGAACAATTGACCATTTTATTTTTGACCTGTTAATCTTTTTTGTCTTAATAATAAAGTTTATTCAGAATATGTAAAGTGTTCTAAGTTATAAAATCAATATCTGGCAACATTTTGATGCCTCTAGATACAGTATTGTGCAAACATTTTAGGCAGGTGTGAAGAAATAATGTAAAGTACAAATGCTTTCAAAAATATATATTTTACTTGTTTATTTTTATCAATGTAAAAATGAAAAGTGAGTGAACAGAAGAAATATCTAAATCAAATCAATATTTGAATACCCCTTGGCTTCAAAACAACATCAATTCTTTTAGGTACACTACACACAGTCTTTGCAGGAAAACAGCAATAGTCAGTAATATGTTACTTTCAAATTCATTTTCTAATTCAATTTCATTTTCAAATATGGTTCGAATTCGAAAAAGGTGTTATTTCGGACAAAATCTCATTTCATTATTTAAGATTTGTTAAAATTCATTACTATTGTACTTGGAAATTTGGATACATCTGAATCTCCAAATAACTTAAAATTTTTCTGAATTTTCGATGTGGAATTAAACGAACCACACATGTCAACAGCAAACCTAGAAAACATAGGGGAAGCTGCTATTTTGTAGAAGCCATATTGAGAATGAACTGCTGTGAGTACAGGTTGTATAGTTTGTTTGTTGGGATACTAGGGCCCTTTCAAACTGATGTGTTTTGGCTGTGCTTTTATTCTGCAAAAGAGACATAAAAATGCAATAAAAATATTTCCCTTTAAATCCTAAGGAACGCTCCACACCAGTGCACTACGAGTCCTGCATGCTGCACTGCATCTTTGTTTAAAAAGCGCACCAAAAATGTGCCTCCCATTTAAATCAATGGAAAACGCATCAAAAATGGACAGCGGTTGCATTTTTGGTGTGCCTTTTTAGTAACATGTCCATATTTCACAGGTGCACACTGGGAATCAGGCCACCAGAAAACACACTAAAAACGCGTTGTGTTTTTACCGAGTTTTTTCAACAGACTAGTGAAGGCTTTAATTTAAAAGGTGCAGGAACTCACCCCCTCTTCCCTAGTTTGAGCTTGACTCTTCCCCTTACATCCCCCCTTTAGAGAATACTGAGCCAAGTATTATTTTAAAACAGGCATATTTTGATGCCCGCAAGTCACAGGTACAGCGAGCTACCAGCATCCTTTAGAAATCAATGCCTGGCTGAAATACACAAAATCTGTATGCATATTTATACACATCCTAGTGGTACATGCGTACAGGGATGGATGCATAATGTGTGGATGCCCCAAACGCAGAATGTGTTCAGGGCATATATGTCTCTGTACACATATGTTGGGATGTACATCAGTATATGTGTACAGCCATTGTGCATTTCAGCTTGCCATTGATTTCTACTGGCAGCTAGCTGTACACAAGATTTGTGACTCACGGGAAACAAAATAAGCCCAGTTTTTACACTGTGCAGTAGGAATGAGCTCATGCATGTTCAGATACAAGACTGAAGCCACCTGAGTTATCCAACCAGAAGGCTGTCAGCTGCTGACTACCAATCATAGGCATCAGAGGCATTCCCTACTTTGAAGCCACATGATTGGCTATCAGCTTCTTGGCAGAATAGCTCAGACGGGTTGAAATTTGTATCTGAACATGCATAAGCTCATCCCTACTGTACAGCTCTAAGTGCCTATGTGCCTAAACCCTTAGACATTGATATTGCTGCAGAAGCAATAATAAATCTCTCCAACAACAATAGATAGTCCCCCTTTAGCAACAATAGATAGCCCCCCTCCAACAACAGTAGATAGCCCCTCTTCCAGCAATATAGATATCCCCCTCCAGCAACAATAGATAGCCCCTCTCCCAGCAACAATAGATAACCCCCCTCCAGCAACAGTAGATAGCCCCTCTTCCAGCAATAATAGATATCTCCCTCCAGCAACAATATATAAGCCCCCCTCCAGCAACAATAGCCCCCCTCCACCAACAATAAGTAGCCCACCTCCAGCCACAATAGAAAGCCCCTCCCCCAATAACATCAATAATTACCCCCCTCACCAACAATAGATAGCTCCTCTTCCAGCAACAACAGATAACCCCCTCCAGCAACAATAGATAGCCGCTCTTCAGCAACAATTGATAGCCCCTTTTAAACCAACAATAGATATTTCCCCCACCCCAGCAACAATAGATAGCCCCTCTTCCAGCAGCAATAGATAGCCTCCGTCCAGCAAAAGTAGATAATCCCTTTTCAGCAACAACAATAGATAGCTCCTCCCTTAGCAACACCAATAGATAGCCTTCCCACCCCAGCAACAACAGATAGCATCTCTTCCAGCAACAATAGATAGCCCCCTTTCACCAACAATAGATAGCCCCCCCTCCACCAACAATAGATAGCCCCTCCCCTACAAACAACAACATATAGCCCCCCCCCTCCACCAACAATAGATAGCCCCTCTTCCAGCAACAATAGATAGCCCCTTTTCCAGCAACACCAGTAGATATTCCCCCAGCTCCACCCGAGCAATAAAAGATAGCCCCTGTTCCAGCAACAATAGATAGCCCCTCCCCTAACAACACCAATAGATAGCCTTCCCACTCCAGAAACAACAGATATCCACTCTTCCAGCAACAATAGATAGCCCCCCTCCAGAAGCGATAGCGCCCCCCCCCCCCCCATCCTAGCAATAGCACTCCAGCACCTTCCTTCTCTGCATCTTCCACACAACTCCAATAACTACTCTTCTGCTCAGGCTCTCCTACATTTAAGGTTGTCCCAGCCACCATCCCAGGCCTCCTGACTAGGGATTGGCCAAGTTCCCACAAACTGACCTGTAGAGCTTTCCTGCCTGCTCTGAGGTAACCTCACACCCTCACTCCCAGACTGACTAATCCTAGGCTTCTAGCAAGCCTCTGACTTACAGACAAAAATCCTACCTAAACTAGAGAGCTCTACATCCTGTGTATATGTGCCTGCTGTACCATGTACTTGTATGAAAGAGCATCCTGTTCTCTTTGTATTGCTTCCTTTGTGTGAAATCTCTGGTGTTCCTGCCAGTCCCTCTGCTTTCCTATTAAAAACGTACCACACTATGCAGGAGAGCACAGCGTGGTCAGTTCTCTAGCTGTGCTGCCATTCACTGAGATCACTAAACATATATTATGTGATCACTTATAAAAAAGGGAAAAAAGGTATAGATAGATAGACAGACAGACAGATATTGCACACATCTTACCTATGTTGGGGCAGAAGGCCATAGTTGCAATGATTAAATCTATTGTTGAGAGCTGATTCTATCAAATAGTTGGTCACAGAAGAAGGCAAAGTTTTACTGATCAAATTTTGAAAACGAGATAAGTTTGAAATGTCCCTAGGATAGCCATTCTTAGAAACACGGTGTGTAACCCAGGCACCTCTTCTTGTACTAAGGAACACCTATAAAATATATCAAATTAAATCTATATTATCCATTTTAATTAATATATATGAGCACAAGTAATTTGTGAGTAAAATCCAATGTTTTCTATATGAAGAATGTCCTATTCCTAATACAGTTCAGGCAAAAACAAGAGCTGTGTAGGGCTTGTCTAAATGGTCATTCTAAAACACAATTTTCATTGTGGAAGTGATTTGAAGAGATAAAAGCAATAATAAAGAAGAAAACATTGAGGAAAACTGATACTTTTGAGCATCCAGATTAGTTGACAATTGATTGGACAGACAAAGCACCTACGAGAAAAGTCACAGTATGATCAGATAGGTAGCTGGATCACAACAGCTAATGCCCCGTGCACACGATGAGAATATCGGACGGATGGTCGTCGTCATTTTTTTTGTGTGCTAGTCTCATATTGAAGAAGAAGAGGTTACAAAAGTTAGGAAAATTCTCCTACAACAGAACACAACTTTGAAAGTGATGAATGTATTGTATGGTGTATATATACAGTGCAGTGCTTCCCCATTAAAGTAAATCAATTCTATGTGCAAAATGCAAAATGTAGTGAACATATGACAACTGTAAACATGCATTGATAAAGTGAACATGTTTCCATGAAAAGTCTCTCAAAATTTCTTCTACTTAAAGAAGCAATCCTTCCAACTTGAGTAAACCTTCTGTCTTCATATAGTTTAAATCCTTCACCAAACTACCAGATGTGCCCTCATCTGGAGTTTTTGACCTCATATCACATCAGGTCAAAAACGCATGTGTCCCAAGAAACGGACATATAATGGTATACGTATCCACACTGAAGGATCTTCCTCCAGAGATCACCGCTTCCTACAGATCTCCTCCTCCACTCCACATACTGTATATGGTATACAAGATAGGGAACACAATAGTGCTTTATCGTTAAAACAATTTTATTAAAAACTTAAACAGTGGCCACTCACATCTTCTGGATGGTCTGGAGTTGTATGTGGGGTACCCCAATGCTCTGTCCTGGAATCAATTTTGTTTAGCTTGTTCATAAACAATATAGAGGTTGGAATAAATAGTTTAATCTCAGTGTTTGCTGATGATACAAAGCTAAGCAGTCTATTACCTTCACAATAGGATGCAGCCACTTTACAGGAAGACCTCAATAAAATAAAAGGGTGGGCAACTAGTAAACATGTGTTCGTTCGGATAAATTTTTTGGACAAAATTTCCATTTTTGGAGATTCAGATGTATCTGATTTTCCAAATGGACATAGTAACGAATATCAACCAATCCAGAAAAAAAAAAAAAAAACCAAGACTCACCTGCTGTCAGTGGGATTCCCCGCTGTCAGAGGAATGTAAAGAAAATAAAAACTAGAAAACAGCATGGGGGTCCCCGCAAGGCAAACCAAGCCTTTTGAGTCTGGAATGGATTTTAGAAAACACAAAATTAAAAAAAAACAAAAAAAAGTGTGGGGTCCACCCCAAAATCGATCCCAGACCCTTAAAGAAGAATTCCAGCCAAAATTGTTATTTTCCCATGCAGTGGGGCTGTGCCAGCACTGCATGAGTTAAATGCTTGTTTTTGTCTAGGGGTTCGGAAAGCAGAGATATACTTACCTAATTCACTGATCCTCCAAGCACAAGACCAGTCCCCGCCGCTCCTGCTTCCCTGCACACTAGTGGTCTTGTGAATGGGCGGTTCCTGATGTCATCACACCCACAGACTGGCTCTGGATGGACGGCAGGAACAGTCCACCACTGGAAGTGGGGGAGCACTGTTTACCGGAGAATCGGAATACGAGGTGAGTATAGCCTTTCCCTAAACACCTGGACAAATCAAGCAGTTACCCATTCAGTATGGGCACAGCCCCACTGACCGGGAAAGTAACAGTTCTGCTTTAAGTCTGGTATGGATTTTAAGTGGTGCTCCCCCCCCCCCCTCTCCTGGCCTGCATGCTTGGATAAGGGTCTGGTATGGATTTTGGGGGGATACACACCATTTTTTTAAAAGACCCCAAATGTTTTTTTTTTTAATTTGGCGTGTTGTTCCCCTTAAAATCCATACCAGACCTGGAGGGCATTTTAGTAAACTCAATATACAGTGATATGGGAAATGGTAGTGACATAAACACAGACACACATGCACACACTCACACAGGTTGAACTAGATGGACCAGTGTCTTTATTCAACCTTGGCAACTATGTAACATAAAGACAGGTTTCAGTAACATGAATTTGATCAACACCTCTCCAAAGAGCCACATAAACTGATGCCAGACCCACCTGCAACCAATGGTGATCATATGGAGTTACCCATCCCCACCCAACTGATGTTAGATTGATTGAGTCTATCATAGGCAAAGTTTCCATTTTCCGAAATTGAGCCACGCAATGATCCATTCAGCCTTTCCCAAACTTTAACACGAAGGAGCCCCTAAAATAACTTTCTGGTCTCAGTGAACCCCTGCTAAAAGGTACTATAACTGCAACTCATGGAACATTAGTGTGATAATCATTGGGAAGAGTGCTGCTTACATTTGTGGTTATTGGGAAGAATTACCCCCTTACAGATATCTAAAAAAGATCAATGGTGTCAGTGAGAACTTATCTGAGAGGCAGAAATTGCTATTTGCTCAAGGAACCCCTAGCAGCCTCTAGATAAACTCTAGGGTTCCATGGAACCCTGGTTGAAAAGCCCTGCTTTCATATATATCTTTGAGCATTCATGTCACACTTGTATGACCTCTATACTAATATAGGCCCAATGGTTACGGAATTATTTTATTCTTGGCTAAATGGGTTTACCTAAAGGGATATGATAAAATGCAGTTCCATAGACACAAAGCTGGTAAGGTGGAGGAAATACATGTCATTAAAAAAAACCCAGAAAGTTAATTAACAAAACAGTTGATCCAGAACAAGGCAAAAATGACTAAAGTGCAGTCAAATTTGCTCCAAATCTTTAAAGGCAACATCAAGTTGACCATCCTACAATATTATCATTGACACATAACTAGTCATTTTTCTTTTGTGCACTTAGTAGATTACTTCAAAAAAGAATTCCATGGGTTTCTAAGTCAGCTAAAACCAATTTCATTGGGAGACTGTTCCACAATTTCATAGCTCTCACTGTGCAGAACCCTAAATGCAGCTGCTAAACCTTTTTTTTCTCCATTTGCAGGCAACACACTTTTAATTTATTAGTGACCTTAAAGTGACTGTCTTTCCAGTGAGTTTAGCATATGGACTACAACATGATGACATACAGTATGCCTTAATCGCATTTTCTCAAAGAATAATATATTCATCGTAAATTTAATTTTGTAGCTCCTCTCTGACCTTAATGATTGCCATTTTCTGCTCGCTACAACATTCTTTTAAAGTGATCTCATTAATGCCTTTTATGTATGTGCCTCTTTTAATACAAGAAGGTATCTTGTTTTCTATAGAAGCTGCAGATTGATATTCAATGCTGCTTTAAAGTGGTTGCAAAGTCTAAACATTTTTTAAAATAATATATTCCTTATAACATTTTTTTTTTAGGTTAAAGAACCCCCCACCCCTGAACTAAACCTTTGGTCCTTCAGTTTCACCTTATATACCACAATCCCCATTATAGTATGTGTGAACACTTACCTTGTAAAACAACCAATTCAATTCACAAAGGCAAGACTTTGTGTATATATATATATATATATTATAAATAACTTTTTATCTTTTTTTATAAGTAATCACAAAATCGTGGTGCTCAACTGCATTAGGTGCTTAAAGATATAGGGGTGGAGAAACAACGTTACACTAATCTCCTCCGTGAATGGTTGTGTGGGGGGCAGTGTGAGCACAAGCCTTTGAAATTGGAGGACAAACAGGCTGTGCTCCAAACAAAGCCAGAAAACTGACCACACTGAGATGGATGTGCTGTCATGCCTAGCGTGGGCAGTTTGAAATAGGAAAGCATTCTATGCATGAAGGTAAAAAAAACCTTTTGTGTGCAGCAGTGCCCCCAGCCCCCTCAATACTTACCTGAGTTTTATCACGGTCCAGCAGTGTGAATAACAGCCTCGGCTGTCTCGGGTCTCTGCCTCCTCATTGGCTGAGACAGCAAGCAGGAGCCATTGGCTCCTGCAGCTGTCAATCACAGCCAGTCAGCCAATGAGGAGAGAGAGGGGGCCGGGCCAAGCCACGGCACACGGAGCAGCGGTTGCCCTCATAGCACGCTGTTTGCTGTGGGGGCACCCAACAGACATGAGGAGAAAGGAGATCCTGCGGAGAACCCGAGAAGAGGAGGATCCAGGCTGCTCTGTTTGTTATTTTTTTTAAAAAAAAGAACCTTTAGAATCGCTTTAAGCTACATACCTTTTCTGCTGTCCTGCTAAGTTCCACTGCAATGTCCCCTCCAGAGTTCCCAATGCCAATCACCAAAACTCTTTTCCCTTTAAAATTATCTGGACGCTTGTATTCTCTGCTGTGTAAGTTCTGCCCCTTAAATTGTTCTATACCTTTGAAGATATCAATTACATTTATACAGTTAGTAAAATAATAATCTGTAAGTTATTACATCATATATATTATTATGCTCGAAGTTCAAAAATGATTACTGCAGATCCTCCCCCAGTGTGGCATCACTTCCGCTTACGCGTTCCAAGATGGTTTCCACTACTTCCTGGTTTAGTGGATTTACAAACAGCGGACAGCTATAGGCTAGGGTTACACCACAAGTCCTCATAGGCATGGGAGTCGTAACATATGAGTTACCAATTACTTTTACCCAATAAAATATACTAATGCTGCACTTAGTTGGTGCCCCCAGTTGTTTTATGCTAAAATTATGTAACATATGTTTATTATATTGTTAAGTTATTACTAAATAACTGGAGAACTGCAAGCAAAAAAGAAACGTACTGTCTCCTAAATTTGAATGTGCTGCACAATCTCAGATCACATGATAGCACTAGCGATTTATAGTTGTGCAGTAGTTTTATTACCACAGTTACCTAGGAGGGGCAGAACCAAAATACAATTGTTACATCTTTTTTTTTTTCAACTTGTGGGCAAATCTACTGGCCAAAATAAAGGGGGTGTTACAAAACCCCAAGGCTATCTTCAGCTAAGGTAGTACACTGCATGTCTGTCAGAGTTAAAGTAGCTCTGGTGTATAAATCACACTAGCACATATTTAGGTACACCGCCTATGTCTGTCAAAAGTAAATCAAAAAATAATGTTGCTATATTGGCACAACCTATAAGTCAGCATAGTATGAGCAGGTGCAGGAAGTGTGTAGGGTAAGGGGAATTTGATGATTAACATTTAAATAGGACTGGCTGAGCCTTAGCAGGCCACAGGAACTACTGCAGTCTACCAATATTCTAAAAGCCTACAAGGATTTTGGGAGATATCAGCAACAACCAAGGATAAGCAAACAATAACTCAAACAAAAACAACATTTTACAATGACACAAAAAGTAAACACTGCTCAAAGTACATTGTTGGAGAAATAATAGCAAATGGCAAGTAAACAGGTATGATGGATGGGGAGACAACCATCACATGGTATTAAAAAAAATAGAAAATAAATGAAAGAATAATTTTAAAGCTGTCACCATGGTGCACTGTCCGCCATAGTGTATACACATTCCAAGGGGAATATTAAATGCCACCTAATATTCCAAAAATATGCAGGAGTTCTGCATAAACCTCCCCATCCCACTAAGCCTCTACCCTTTAGCTAAAGCCAACTGCTTTTTGGAAGAATGCCATGACTGGTGCAAACAACTCCAACACATCTGCACATATTAGAAGTCCATGATCGACTTTGTTTTTGCCTCCTTTCTCTTTACTCTTATGTCCATTGCCAGCAGGGCTGCTGTTACAAATTATGGGGCCCCATACATCCAACTTGACAGCCCCCCCCCCAAAAAAAATACAGTTTACTATGCTTCAGTTATGAATAAACACAGTGAGTGATAGATACTGATCACTCATTGTGTTCATTCAGGAAAGGAATGGGCTGCTAAATGTGACATATTTGCCAGACCCTTCCCTCCTTCTCCATCCTGAAGGATCCTATTGTGTGCTTGCAGCTGTCAGTGGGAAGAAAAGGGAAGCCGGCAGCACTGTGGGGGTTTGAGCACACATGGGGAACTGGGAAAATGGGGGAAACGTATGGTGCACAGGGAGGGTGATGGGTGTGGGGGAGGCAATTACTGGAACCAATCTCCTGTATGGCTCTCTTTGCAACATCTGAAAGCCAGCAGGAGGGAAAGGAGAAGAAGCCAGCTTTCAGATACTGCAGAGAGAGCCATACAGGGGATCGGTTCCAGTAATTTCTCCCCCGCCATGACGATCACCCTCCGCGTCCAAATCCTATTCACCCAGCTGGCTGGGCCCCCCTGCTGGTCTGGGCCCCATACAGGAGGACTGATTGTACCCCCTTATCCACGGCCCTGATTGCCAGGTCCTCCTCTGCATATTCTCCATGGAACATGATTAGCTGTCACCCCTCTGTCCCTTCTATCCCCATCGATAATCAGTTCTCATTCTGCTTTCCCTCTTCCCTGCCCCACTCAGCCCCCCATCCACTATTTATGTTCAGTCCCACTATACTATTCTTTGAATGGTCCAGAGTCAGGTCACACTTAAGCTGACCATATACCATTAGAGGTTTGTTCAAATATTTTGGTTTTTGGAATGTTTGTTTTCTTTTCTGGTTAGTGGTGTCAAATAGACATTTGTTTATGATGATATTGATGAGAAAAGTTGAAGGACCAGGATGGAATTTTTTCTCAAATAAACAAAATTCTAACTGTGAATGTGATTTTGTTTGGGAGGAATTATACATAATCCAACTAAACTAGTTGACTCAATGATGGCAAGAAAGAATATTCTGACAAATTCTTTTTTCATAAGTTCCATAAGAATGTCCAAATGAAAGTCTTACCATGTATTTCCAGCTTTAGCTTGCTTTATCAACCTGATTTAACAACCGAGGACTCTTCCCTGCTACTGACAGCAGGGATGAGATGCAGTGGTAGAAACTTGCAATAAAATAGCATCTGAACCACATCAACTCGCAGTACAACTGCCCCTTGAAATCACACTGGAAACCAGATTGAAATTGCACCACATCAGTGTGAATAAAGACTTAAGGTAATAGCAGGCCACTTACCTGGAAAGGAAGAAAGTGGTAGGTTTGGAAATGAATGATGCCCAGTACAGATGAGCACAGCATCAAAGATAGCTATGTCTTGGTTGCCTTCCCTTTCAGTGGTAACAATCCACTGGCCAGTGGTGGGGAAATCCCAGGTTTTCTCGATGCTACACACAGCAGTCTAAAATATATCATTGATATATATATTAAACAACATATCTGTGCTAAATGTTTACATTTTGAATGTGAGCAAAAAGCCTATTTTCTTTTTTGGACAATTGTCAATAAAAAGATACAAGAGGTGCTTGCTTACAAGGAAAATGATGAACAGCAATAATTGATCATTGTCAGCAATATCAATTTAATATTAGGGTTCATTATTTAAATACAGGTAAGATAATATTCACAAAATTATAATGGTAAATGCAGATGCCTAAAGTAACACAATATGTAGTCATCAAACTTTTAGAACACATGAATATGTACATGAAAACCACAAATTCTTTTTTCCTATGAAATAAACATTCTTCATGGATCTTTTGTTACAGTAAATACAGTGTGTATCTTCCAATGAGGAGGAACTAAAATTACCACCAGTAAATGATACACATCTTCTAAACCAGTGGTTCTCAACCTTTCTAGCGCCGCGACCCCTTAATACAGTTCCTCATGTTGTGGTGACCCCCAACCATAAAATTATTTTCGTTGCTACTTCATAACTGTAATTTTGCAGTAGGAGGAATAGTGCCACGTCATTGGTGTCATTGGGAGGAATAGTGCCCCATCATTGGTATCAGTGGGAGGAATAGTGCCCCGTCATTGGTGTCAGTGGGAGGAATAGTGCCCCCTTCATTGGTGTCAGTGGGAGGAATAGTGCCCCGTCATTGGTGTCAGTGGGAGGAATAGTGCCCCGTCATTGGTGTCAGTGGGAGGAATAGTGCCCTGTCATTGGTGTCAGTGGGAGGAATAGTGCCCCGTCATTGGTGTCAGTGGGAGGAATAGTGCCCCGTCATTGGTGTCAGTGGGAGGAATAGTGCCCCGTCATTGGTATCAGTGGTAGGAATAGTGCCCCGTCATTGGTGTCAGTGGGAGGAATAGTGCCTCGTCATTGGTGTCAGTGGGAGGAATAGTGCCCCGTCATTGGTATCAGTGGGAGGAATAGTGCCTCATCATTGGTGTCAGTGTGAGGAATAGTGTCCCATCATTGGTGTCAGTGGGAGGAATAGTGCCCCATCATTGGTATCAGTGGGAGGAATAGTGCCTCATCATTGGTATCAGTGGGAGGAATAGTGCCCCATCATTGGTGTCAGTGGGGGGGAATAGTGCCCCATCATTGGTATCAGTGGGAGGAATAGTGTCCCATCATTGGTATCAGTGGGAGGAATAGTGCCCGATCATTGGTGTCAGTGGGAGGAATAGTGCCCCATCATTGGTATCAGTGGGAGGAATAGTGCCCCGTCATTGGTATCAGTGGGAGGAATAGTGCCCCGTCATTGGTGTCAGTGGGAGGAATAGTGCCTCGTCATCGGTGTCAGTGGGAGGAATAGTGCCCCGTCATCGGTATCAGTGGGAGGAATAGTGCCCCATCATCGGTGTCAGTGGGAGGAATAGTGCCCCATCATCGGTGTCAGTGGGAGGAATAGTGCCCCATCATCGGTATCAGTGGGAGGAATAGTGCCCCATCATCGGTGTCAGTGGGAGGAATAGTGCCCCATCATCGGTGTCAGTGGGAGGAATAGTGCCTCATCATTGGTATCAGTGGGGGAATAGTGCCCCATCATTGGTATCAGTGGGAGGAATAGTGCCCCATCATTGCTGTCAGTGGGAGGAATAGTGCCCCATCATTGGTGTCAGTGGGAGGAGGAATAGTGCCCCATCATTGGTGTCAGTGGGGGGAGGAATAGTGCCCCATCATAGGTGTCAGTGGGGGGAATAGTGCCCCATCATAGGTGTCAGTGGGGGGAATAGTGCCCCATCATAGGTGTCAGTGGGGGGAGGAATAGTGCCCCATCCTTGGTGTCAGTGGGGGGAGGAATAGTGCCCCATCCTTGGTGTCAGTGGGGGGAGGAATAGTGCCCCATCCTTGGTGTCAGTGGGGGGAGGAATAGTGCCCCATCCTTGGTGTCAATGGGGGGAGGAATAGTGCCCCATCCTTGGTGTCAGTGGGGGGAGGAATTGTGCCCCATCGTTGGTGTCAGTGGGGGGAGGAATCGTGCCCCATCCTTGGTGTCAGTGGGGGAGGAATAGTGCCCCATCGTTGGTGTCATTTGGGGGAGGAATAGTGCCCCATCGTTGGTGTCAGTGGGAGGAATAGTGCCCCATCGTTGGTGTCAGTGGGAGGTATAGTGTCCCATCGTTGGTGTCAGTGGGAGGAATAGTGCCCCATCATTGGTATTAGTGACACCAATGATGGGGCACTATTCCCACTGACACCAATGATACTTACCTTGCAGACCCCTGCTCCAGCCTGGGCTCGCTCGCTCCCTCCCTCTCCCATGGTACCGACACTTACCTGTCAGATGTCTTCCTTCTCCGGCCGCTCTCCTCCTCTTCACTCGCTCGATCTTCGCGGTGCCGCTTGGCTCCTCCTCTCCAAGCTCCACCTCCTTGCCAGTGATTGATCTCGAGGTGTGTCCAGATGACAGGGGCAGCATGTCATCCCGCCCACACCTGGAGACGGCGGTGGCGGCGGCGGCGGCGAGGAGCGGTGTCTCGGTTCCTAAGACCATCGGAAATATGTGTTTTCCGATGGTCTTAGGCGACCCCCTGTGGAAGCGTCGTTCGACCCCCAAAGGGGTCGCGACCCCCAGGTTGAGAACCGCTGTTCTAAACATATGCAACTCTAGTAATCCAGCATTACCAGTCCAAGCAGCAATATAAATGCAATATACTAGTATTTATTTCCAGGGGCTTGGCAATGGCACCCATGTCCCCCCTCATGTCAACCCTCTGTGTATCCTGTCACACTAACCCCATACTGGGAACAATTCACTAAAGGTTATCGCATTTGTTATGTCGGTCACGTGACCATATATCGTATGCGATACTGGAAATGTCAATTCACTATTGTTAGTATGTGGTATTTACGGCAAATAGCAAAAAACACTCGGTAAATACCGCATAAAAACACCCTTAAGTCAATTCACAGAAGGGAATAATGAAATTCTAGCGGTATTTAAGTAGTGGTCGAGGCATGATGTACTGGTAACTGTTAGTAACTATCATGGTTGTTAAGGATTGAGCAGCTGCCACATCCTTAAACACCTATGAGTCATCAGCTGTCAGCAAGGTTCCCCGCTGACAGCTGAATGTAAAAGAAAAGAATTGCCAGCAATTAAAATTTAAGCAGACGGCAGGACGGGACGTCGGTGGTGGTGGTCATCGTGATAGACGATGGATCTACAACAGGTGACTTTTTCCAATTTTTGTTTTTTTAATGAAGGACTTGTCAAAAACTGCCTCCTGTGTTTTTTTTACACTACACTTTTTTTATTTGAATGAGTAGCAGTACCATGTGCCCCATACTCATTCACATAGGTTGGGGGCTGGGATCTGGGGGCCCCCCTTGTTAAAGGGGTTTTCCAGATTCTGAAAAGCACCTACCCGCAGACCCCCACAACCACCTGCCACAATTGTGGGGAAGAGGTCCTTGTCCACTTCAACATGGGGACAAGGTGCTTTGGAGGAGAACCCCCCTGCTCCAAAGCACTCCCCCATCTCCCTGTAATCCAACACTAATGGATACTGTAGGTCCAAACACATGGAGCTGACTATGGCTCTAAAAAGACCCTGCATTGTTGAAATATTACTAAATATGGTAGATAGTTTAGTGCATATCCCCCAGTACCACCCACTTAATGTAACCTATTCAACTGAAAAGTGTCATGAAAAGTGTACTTACCACCAATGACCACGTAAAAACAAAAGAAAGGAGGGAGAGAAAGCACCACTGTCTAAACGTAGCATACATGAAAAACGTAAAAAGGTGAAGCAGTAATACTCTAACATAAAAATAATGCCCTCACATAAAATTAAGTGAGCACAGCATTTCTTTTACAATGGAATTTATTGATAGTATCAAGTCATCAGATAAATCCAAAAAGGTGGAAATAACAGTAAAGAGGAAGTAAATATACAGTTCCTCTAGTTAACGTAAAGCATAATAAATGCACAGAGTTACAGAAGCAAACAAGAAATGTGATTACAATGTGTAATTAAATGATAAGATACATAACAAAGTGCAGTATTGATTAGCATTTGAAGGCCTATGATTCAGCAGTTTGAATTTGTAGGTAGACATGAAAACAGCATACAAAGCATTCTGCATAACCCCATGAAAAGTGTGGATACAAATCCTTTGGGCCCAAAATGGGTCCAGTGATTATACAAAACACTTCAGCTTCCAAAAAATCATATTCAGCTCAATTACAGAATGAAAAGGAAGGGCAGATGAGAAAAAAGGAAGAGGAAAAAGGGTACCGGGGGGGGTCACAGTAGAGGGTCGTTAAAGTGACAGTAGGGCGTTGTCAGGTCTGCATGGCTGGGCTACGCTAATCAAATGTTGGCAAATCCGGAGGAACTTATCAAGCGTGTCTAGCAGTATAGCTGTTAACTTCTCATTAACCATTATAAAAGTTCATCCTGCTTTGAAACTAAGGACGGGGGTCTTCCATGCTTTCGCAATTGTCAATTTGGCGGCTTTGAATAAATGTGATGCCAATTGTCGATGTATATCTTCTATTGGTTTACATAATAGCGCCTCATAGGGGTTGCGTTTAATATTTGTGTGAATCATAGTGTGAAGGAAGGCATAGATCCTGACCCAGAGTCTGCATACCTTGGGACAGGACCACCAAATGTGGGCCATGGTGCCGATCTGTTGGCAACCCCAAAGCAATTCAGTGAGGAAGATGGGATGAGATGGGCCAGCTTGTGTATAATACCACCTATACAGGAGTTTATAGGCATTTTCTAAAATAAGTATATTTTTCGAGCATTTGGATAATGTTTGGGTCATGATCTGCCAATCCTGCGGGTCAAGTCGGCCCCCTAATTCAGTTTGCCAATGTTGGTGATAGGGTCGTAGTGGGGGCTTTCTGTAGGAGATAATGGAAGAATAGATCAGTGATATCAGACCCTGAGAATGAGGTCTGATTCTACAGAGGCTTTCAAAAAGGAGTC